GCTCTCCTGGGGGACCGGGGGGCCCTCGCGGGCCGGGCTCTCCCGGCGGCCCTCGCTAAGGGGAAAAAGGGATGGGACCCACGTCAGGAAGGAGCAGCTGGACCCCGAGAGATGCTGGGAGTCAGAGGGAGACCAGGGTGCAGCGCTCGCCGCCGGCGTGTGCTGGGGACCTGTCTCCAGAGAGCTGGGATGGAGTGAGCACCCCAAGGTGTCAGAGCTCTGCCGCTCCCCACGGGTCCTCCGCTGCCTGGCCTGTGCCCCCCGGCAAGGGCATGGATGGAGAAATCCGGGAAATCTCCCCTCACACTGGCACAACCAGCTCCCCATCCCCTGCCCGGTTTCTACCCCATCGCTGCCCCCTCCTGCCCTCCTGCCCCGGTGCCCGCGGGGCTTCTTCCCCAGCAGAGCGGGGTCTCAACGGGGCGATGGCAGCGCTTGCAAAGGCCCCTCTCGGCTCGGGGTGCAAGCCCAGCACTGGGATTTCTAAAAGCACCGGCAGGATTTAGGTGCTTGAAGCCCCGGTGTGAAACGGGGGCCCCAAGCCCCTCTGTGGGCACACTCCCCCCTGTACCAGGCTGGCTCGCTGCCCGGCTTGCTGCCCGCTGCCCGCTGCCCGCAGCCCAGCTCCGCAGCATCGCACAAAAGCACCATTCAGCCGGCGGCAGGGGCGCTCCCCGAGCAGCCTGGCCCCAGCTCTGAGGTTTGTACAGGACTCCGCAGGAGCAACTTCGCAAAGAAATCTCTGTTATCCTAACGGGGTGTTTGGGGGGAAGAGACTCCGGTCCCGGAGACCGAACCCCTGGTGTTCCTGGAAATGAAAACCATGCGGGCTGGCTGGGGCTGGCACGCCTGCGACTCCTCTGTCCTTCCAGGCTTATTTATTTTAAAGTGAAACATATAAGGATGAGAGGTGTTGCTGGTTTGTTCACAGAACTAGGAGAGCCCTGGCTTCGCCTTGGAAGCAAACCCCGCGGTCGGGGTGGGAGCAAGCACCCGTCCCTGGGAGCACCCGTGAATGGCACCTTTGTCCTGCCCGAATGATTTCCAAATGGATCCTTGTTCCAAGAGCTCCTACATCCCCCTTGCTCCGACCGAAGCCCGCTCCCCTGGCCAGACCCTGCCCCCACAAGCCCATGGGCATCCCGGGGGGGTGTTTTAGGAAAGCAGCTGTCCCCCCCAGTTTTCCGCAGTCAGGCTGTCCATGCCGGCAGGCAGCTCAGGAGCCACATGGGAAGATTTTTCCCAAATCTATTATAAAAATCTGATTTTTGTGGTTGCAAGGCAGAGAGAGTTTTTCTCTTTTCAGGTGGGAGCCAAGGAGAAACACTGCCTGTCCCGCTCACAGCACTCGCCCCGAGGACCAGAGGGACACCTTCCCTTCACTTCTCTCCATTTTGTCCTGCCCCTGGGTGAGTCCTGAGAGGCTGCCGGGACCCCCCAGTCCCGGGACACCTCCGCCGCCGGTGTCCCTCCCGGCTGCCCCTCAGCAAGCTCCCGTGGAGCCCCGGGGCAGCCCTGGGAAGGGCAGACCCCACTCAGCCCCGCTCCGCAGCGCATCCCAGCAAGACAGAAGCAAATAAGCATTTTCCCAGGTGATGGGAGGCGGAAGATCTGGTGGCTGCTGGGGAGGGAAACGGCAGAGAGCCCCCCATTGCTGCCCCAAGGGGAAAATAAAACTAAACTTGCTTAGCTAACAAGTCCCCAACTTCAAGCCGTGCAGCCCAGCCCTGTCCCTGTCTCACGGGACCAGAGGCAGCTTTCTGCACAGAGAGGTCCCC